CTCTCATGGTTTTCAGGATGCCGCGCTCTTCCACGTTTCTTCCCTCCCTCTTTAACATCTCTGCTTCCTTCTCATGGTCATTTGCCTCTCTCGGTCCCTTCCAACCAGGCCCATTTCCTTAAGGTTCTTTCTAGGCATTGCTCTGTTCTCATCTCTGTTATCACTTCCCTTGGAGATCTCAGGTCACAGACGGGAATGCCAAGAGGATCTAGCCTTGGAGATGCTCAGATTATTTCTACAAGGGACGCAAGCAACTACGTCTCCGTGGTCATCTCTGGAAAAGGGCAGCTGGGGCTCAGAAGCTTTTGCTTTTCACTTCTACCCTTCTGGAAGATGTGTGATCTTTCCCATGAGTATGAATTACTTCTATAATAGTAAGTGCAATGACAATGTGGTTTTGAGGAGAACGGATGGGTGACTTCTGACCAGGCCCTTCTTTGTCAAGCAGTCTGCCTTTAGAAGATGGGGTGGGGAAGACTTTCAGAGTATAAGAGTCTGAGCAGAGGCACGGAATTGAGACCTGGAAGTGACTGAAAAGCTTTGGCACCTGTAAAGAAATATTAGGCCTCACTGGTGGAGGCAGAGGATGTGGGTGGGGAGCAGGTATTTTGGCAAGCCAAGGAGATCTTGCAGGTTCCCTCAAAATCACACAGGGGCCCACTCTGCCTTCCTGTGAAGCAGGCCCTGCCCACCCACACAGGATCCCTAGCCTCATGGGGTGATCAAGGCCAGAGAAACACATTTGGAAGAGTGTAGGGCCCTCTGCAGGCCTGGACTCTGGGCCGCTGTGCTGCTGGAACTGGCTGTTGGGTGGGGGTGATTTGCCAAGGACTTGGGTCCATTGGGTTTGCCCATCAGGGTTGCCTAGGGCACCTGTAGGCCTGTCAGAAGGGCATGAGCTCTTCAGAGACCAGGTGACCATTAGTGTCATGTAAGTCAGAGGACAGGCCGTAAAATGGGTTAGGAAATGTAGACCCCCCCTGACTTTGGGGGTCCAGGTAAGAGTACAATGGAGGCCAGCTTCTATATGTCTAAATATTTGAAAGTTGCAAATTAAGTTAACAAACTATTAAATAGAATATGTTGCCTTCTCTTAAGTTGACAAATATACCTTCATAGTATCCTGAAGGTGAAATTTGAATTTAGAATTGGCGGAGTCCTTGGAGTTTCACATTGGAACGTAGTGGCCTAAGGAGTGCCAGCCCTGGGCTGGCTTCATACCCTGGCTCCATCTGGCACTAGGAAGCACCTTGAGCACACATGTGTGACACCCAGCCCACATATCCCAGCTCCACATCCACACACACCCCAAAAGCCACCCCTTGGTCATCCCCCTGAGGTCCACAGGTATGCACACCAGTGGCAGTCCACTCTGGCTGGCAGAACAGACTTAGGTTCGAGTCCCGCCCTGGCATTGGGGTTCAGCTCGGGGAACTGGGGAGGGGATGCCAGGATCCCAGTACCTGGAGCAAGGCCCAGCAGCAGGACATGCGTGGCTCTTGGGGAAATGGCCCTCTAACCTGTGAACACCAGTGAACACCTGGCCCATGGCTACTGGGCCGTGGCTGGAGGAGGGCCGGAGCAGCCCCCTGATACGTGGGCCACTCTCATCACTAGGCTGAGGCCAGTGCCTAGTGGGAATGAGGGAGGCCAGTGAAAACTAGAAGGAGGAGGACCTAGAAGGAGGAGGACCTAGTTTCCTAGAAGAGTCCTCAGGATGCCCAGTGCCTCTCTGTCCCAGGCTGGGCCTCTGCCCGACACCTCGTGCCTCGGGGTCATTCAGGTATCATGGTCTCACAGTCCTGACACAGTAGGGAGCTTGTTTTCCTCCTCTCACACTCCCTGACTTTAATCCCCACCAGCTTGTGTCACTTGGCTGGCCTCCTTGGCAGAAAGGTGACAAAAGGACTCTCTCTGAGGAGTCAAATCCCTCAGCCAGACCCTGAAGCCTCTTTGAGGCCATAGGAGCCAGTGGCCTAGGGTCCTGACCTCCACTTACCAACCTGGTTTCCTCTCACCTCTCCCTGCTGCGTGTTGGTGGGAGTCACTCAAAGCAGGTCCACTGATCTCCAGAGAAGCAGGAGAGCCTCGGTCTCTCCTACACTCATGCTCCTCCCCCATGGCCTGGGCCAGCCCTCTCTATTGACCCTTACCTTCCAGTGTTTCCTAACACCTACCTTGACTCCATCTACCTCACCTGCTCCCCCCGGGGCTCCTCCCCTGCTCCCAATATTTGTTCATCTACCCCTGGCTCAACTTGCTCCTTATTTCTGTCCAAATCCCTTTCATTCTTCAAGAGACGCTTGAGGCTCCACCCCCATGAAAGGTTCCCAATACCTTCCATTAATCCTTCCCCAGCTTTCTCACCTGTATTTTTTTTATCACCCGGACCCCACACTTGGTCAAATGAATTATGTTCATGGTAGTCCTTTATACCATATGACATTGTTATTCTTTGCTTGTTATATAAAAATCACAGGCCTGGAAGAGGTCTTAAAGATCACCCAGTCCAACCCTCGTTGTCTTAAAGGTAAAACCAAGAGAGAGAAAGGTTTTATAACATAGCCAGGCTGAACCTGCTGGAATTACATTCAGCCCTCTTGACCCAATCTAGGACTTGCCCACAAATCCCCGCTGCCTCTCCACACAGAAGTCTCTGTCACTCAAAGGAGGGGGCAGTCATGAAAGACAATCACGCGATATACTCATCGAATGGCAAAGGGTGCCTCCCTGGTGACCGGCAGGACAGAATCCAGAGCTGCAGCCCACCTCTGTATACCTTATGTTTTTCAAGTTCTTTGCTATCCACTTTAATAACTACCCGGAGAGGAGTGATTATCAGAGGTCACCCAGATTTTCTCAGGCCAGGCCCAATTCCCTTTTCTCCAGAGAGAACAAGCCCAATTCCTGCTCCACCATGACAGGGCCAGCCAATCCCCATAATCCCTTGCATTTTCATTTTGGAAGCCCAGATTCCCCTCTTAGTAAGTGTCCCTTCTGACTTTCCCAGGGGCTGACGAGAAGCTGGTGGGCCACAGCAGGAAGGGGCTGCGTAAAGAAGTAACTAAGTGGAGGGTCTAGGTTGGAGCCCCCTTTAATAGAGGGTGGGAGCAAGCAAAAAACAGACTGGGGACAGAAGAGCAGGAAGTGGCCCAGGGACACTAGGGGCTAAGGACAGGGTGACCTGCCCAAAATAAGGCCCCTAAACTCCAAGTAAATTCCCTGGTTCAAAAATCAGCCAGAATAGGGCAGAGCAAACATTTTTCTTTTCTCCCTCCTGCTCTGGTTGCCCTGCTCACTGCAAGGAAGAAAACTAGAATAATGAGCCACGTTGGAGACTGTCACCCGAGCAGCTCCGGAAGGACGTGGGCAGACGCCTGGCTGGGCGGCTCACTTTCTCTGTTTCTGGTTGAGATTTTATAAATATTCGGGGAGTTTGATCTGAGGCTGGTGGTGGGGAGGCGAGGGGAGCGGCAGAGGGGGTAGATAATTCAGCCCATGGGGGTTCTTGGACCTCTCCCAGGCCTGCTTTTCATTAGCGTCACCAGGGCAACTGCTCATCCGCTGCAGACCCCATCACGCCCTGCAAGGCATCCACAGCATGTTAGGCTTTTCCTTTAATCGTGAATCTGCTGCAATCAGTCCTCCTCCAAACCCCCACCCCTCAACCCCATCACCTCCTAGCCTGGGGAAGAGGAGATCATTAAGGGGGAGAAACGCTACAATCCCAACTCTCTAAGGCTGGTGAGGAGGGACAGAGCCACCAAAGTCCCATTCCGAAGGCTGCCATTTGCCCAGGACTGTTGGAATTTGGGTGGTAACAAGCCCCTGGTAACCAGACTGTAACAGCATCCCATTCTAGCCCCTCCTCTGTTTCCCGGGCTGACCCAACCTTTCCCCTCCATACACACCTTTATTCTTGACCAAGGCAAACATTTGCACAGTTCCCAAGGAACGACCTCACCAGTCATCACGCTGATAGTTTCCGGATGCCCACTGGTGCACAAGCCCATCTGGGTCTTTGGTTTTCACCCAGGTGTCCAGTGGATCCTAAAAGGGTGGTGTCAGGGGAGATGGAAGCTGGCCAGAGGAGACGGGGAGACCCATGTCTGTGAGGCAGTGAGAGTGGGCACGCCAACCAGAAGAGGTGAGGGTTTTCCCTTGGAGAAAGGAAAGCCCGAGTGCGTGATTGTGCCACCAGGGAGGGAATATGCCCCCAGAGCCTGTAACCATCCCTCGACCCCGCAACCCCCACCCCCACCCCCCCACTGCAGACACTCCCACTTCTCAGCACAGACTCCATGGAACTTCAGAGATCTGTTTAAGAACCAGCTCCCTCTGGCTGTGAGCTCCCTAGGGCCCCAGCCAGGGAATCCCGGCCTCTGGGCGCGCAGCGTCAGCCCAGCACCTGCACTAGGAGGCTCTCCGTGGTGTCCGTTGAAAGACAGGAAAGAAGGAGCGTTGTCAGGGGGCTGGCTGCAGGGGCTGGGTTTTCTTTCTAGCCTTTGTGCTCCTGAGCAAACCTGAGCCAGAGCCTCTCCCAGCCCCTCCTTTCTGTGGAATGCAGGTCACCCCAGCCTTCCTGATAGATCTGTACTCAGAGCCCTCGAGCCAGCCCTGAGGGCTGCAACTAAGAAGCCGCAGAAGACCCCTCCCCTGGCTACCGATGGAGCAGAACCAGGACCCCAAGTCGTCTGGGCTCAGAAAAAAAAAAAAAAGCAGCTTCTGCCTTCTTGCTGTTTTGTGCCTTTTCCCACCAAGATTGGCCCTGGAGGAGCAAACCCGAGTTCCTCTGCTGGTTTGAACAGGAAATTCCTGTCAGCTTATGGGAGAGGCCAACTGGGGGAGATTTCATCACATAGATTCCCCCCGAGATACAGAATCATATCAAAGTCTTATCCCAGCCCGGGGGGTGGGGGGAGGGCAGCCCCAACATCCGCTTCTGGGCCTCACGGACCCAGCACAGGCGGCCAGCCTCTCTTACCTAAAGCCGGGTGGGGTTTTTCTACTCAGCCTGGTGATGGCGGGGAGGAAATGCCGATCAGTAACTAGGTGCATCACTGTAGCTGGCCGGGTTGCACGGGTGGTTTTCGGTCCGCTCTGGTGGCAAAGCTACTGGAGAGCCAGAGAAGTGCCAGCCCCGACGGCACAGAGAGCATGGGTTGAGAAAGCCCGCGGGGTGTTGACCCCCGCTTCTCAAAGTCTGGTCCTGGGGTTGCGTGTGGCCATCACCTTGCAGAGGCAGGTCTCAGACCTCTTCTTAATCAGGAAATACGTTTTAACGTGACAGCCAGGTATTTGGAGGCATGTTGGAGTTTGCAACACACGGGGGCACAGAAGGGAACATATGGGTGCTTCCGTCTCTGACTGCATGGATTTTAATTCCAGTTCTGTCACTCAGTAACAGTGTGACGTTAGGCACAGAAACACCCTCTCTGAGCTCCGGCTTCCTCACCTGTAAAGCGGAGGTGATGTTACCTATATCATAAAGGGTTGACGTGAGGCAGGGGCCTGGCACCTGGAGGCTCCAACCCAGTAAATGTTAGCAGCACAGAGTTGATTGCTCAGGGAACGTTACTATCATTTGCTTCCACAAATCAGCTACGCAAGAGATGGGGCTTCAGCTGGCCCTCCTGCTTTCACTTTTGTATTTTCTGAAAGGATTCATAGACCCCTGACCTGAACCCCCAAGCCAAAAGTTGTGGCCTCAGATGGAGGTGGGTGAAGGAGCCGACTGAACAGACAGGCAGGGCCAGGTCGAGAGGAGGGACTTCTAGGAAGAGGAGACACACACAGCATCTGACTTTGGGGACGGAGCTTTATAAATGGCACTTTGACCGTTTCCCACAAGCTAACAGGATAGAGTCTGGATTTCATTTCTCTTACCATCTCTGCGTTTCTTTGGGAGATGATAGTGTTCGTCCCTGTGGGGGAGGAGCACTGACCATCTTCCCTTTGTTCTGTGTTGACCTGTTCTTCGGCCATAGCTCCCTCTTCTTGCCCAGGCTGAGGCAGCTGAGCACCGGGACACGTAAGCCGCAGGGGCCCGCTGGGGCTGTGAGGCCATGACCGCTGGGCTCATTTTGCAGAGCTGCTTCCCCAGTGGCGCTTGGCTGACGCTGCTTTTCAAATTCATTCTGGGGGATAGAGAGAGGGACAGCTTCTGGGTGTGCCTTGAAATGTGCTGGCTGGTTACCTGGCCAGCCGGGCGGCTCGTCTAACCTGGCTAAGCCTCAGTTTCCTCCCGGGATGGCAATTCTGAAGATGCCATGCAAGTCTCTACCCATGCTGGGGACTCAGGAACCACAGGGAGCTGGAGTGATTAAATGAGGTGATACCTATAAGGAGCATGGCCCAGAGAGTGCTGTATGGTCGCTACACATTAGCTGTGGTTCCTGTAGTTGTTAAAAGAGGTGAGCCTCCGGCAGTGGGCCGTGGCTGAAAATCACCAACAAGAAAGGGGCCTCCCCATTTGCAAATAGCAAGCACAGCCTCCCCGCTCCTGTGCAGGTCAGCAACTGACCCTCTCCTCCCCCACCTTCATTTTTTCTTTCTTTAGCTGCAGGGCTTGTCACACGTGGCTCCCCAGGCTACCGCAGTGAATTTAAAGCTTGAAATAAATACAAGCTCAAAACTGCTCCTGACCTGGGGACGCCTCTCCCTCCCTTCCCTCTCTCTTCCTCTCCTGCTGGAAGCCAGGCCCAGGCAGAGCCCTGGAGAAGGTATCTCCTCTGCACGTACGCGGGTCCCAGGGGCCCTGCCTGGGGCGGACGAGGATCGTCCTGAACCAGCACAGACTCTCCTCTTCCTGGGTTTGTTAGAAGCCTGACCAGGCCCGAGTCTTATGACTTCAACAGATGTTTCTGCTTAAGCAGCCCTGGCATCTTTATGGCCTGTTTTTTCCATTCTTGCTTCTCTTCCTCTGTCCCAGCAGCCCTGAACGCAATTTGGACTTCATTTTCTTTCTAATGGTTACAGGGATAGAAAGGACTTTTATTTATTTTTTTCTTTTTCATTTTTTCACCCTTTTTCCTTAGCTCTTCAAATCACTCACACACACACACACACACACACACACACACACACACACCCCCGCTCTAGATGCATTCAGATCTGTGCTCGCGATGTGTATTTGTTAATGGTACTGACATTTATTTCATTAAGACTTAGTCCCATTTCAAAGCCTCCTTCCCTGCTTCCACCCTCACCTCACATTCGTCCCTGCCTGTCCCCACACAGGTCACCCCAGGACAACCCGATTAGTGCGTCCTCCCAGATGCTGATGCGGGAAGCTCAGGCTGGCCTCAGTCTCTGGCTCGATACCTGAGGAGCCCCGCTGTGGAAGGTTTGGGCTGGGTGATGGAGGGAGCGCCGAGGTTCCAACGGCTGTGTATCACTCCACTCCCCCAGCCAGCCAGGCCGCCAAGGCTCAGGTGGGGCCAAGCTGACAGTTGCTACAAAATGAAACCAGTCTTCAGCGGAGAGGTCACAAGCTCGAAACCAGTCTGGCCGCTCCTCACATCAACACCTGTAATGCCACCCAGCTTGCCTACATAGCAGTGTATTCACGTTCACCCGCCCTGCAGGGTTTGGGGTCACCTGTCTCAGAGTCTGGTTCCCACAGCAAAGAAAGCCTGGAGACCTCAGGTCTTCATCCGAGGGCCTGTCCATGTCAAAGGCACTGGGACTTGGGTCCCCTTATTGCTTCCCAAGGCTGAGAAATGCACCTGGATTTCTCCTCGGGGGGCCCCACTGGGGGTAGAGACAGACCTACCTGGAGTCCTAAATGTTAGCACCACCTGCTGCCTTACCTGACATTAGCCCATTGCCTTTGAGGGGCCATCCAATCTTAATTTCTCCATGTCTCTGCAACATTTCTACCGAAGAGTTTAACAAAGCATTTACCTCTCAGGGCATGGTCATAACTGAGCTAACCGCCAACTACTGCAGACTACTGTGAGCCATTCTGATGCTGACCATGGGGGACGGTGGGGTCTTCAGAATGTCCCATCTCCAACATCCTCACCACAGAGGCGCCTTTCCAGAGGGACAGGAGGGGGATGTCTGAGCTAAACCTCAGCATGTCCTTACTAGATGACAGCCCCCACTTGAGAAGGGCCAGGCAGCCGTTGTCTCCACCTCGCCCGATTATGGTAGTGTCGCCATATACATCTCACCTGTGATCCTTCTCCCTCCTTCCTATTAAAACAAGTTAAAACCCTGGTTCTTGTTTGTGTTGAGAAGCTGAGCCATGGCACCCTCCCTGCAGTGGGTTAGGGGAGGCTGTCGCAGGGTAATGAGCTTGGGCTCCAATAGCAGGGTGACATGTGTGAGGGCAGTGGGGAATGGAAGTCAGAAGAAGACCTGGAAGTAGAAGTGGGACAATGGCCGTCTTACATGCCAAAGTCTGCTGGGGAAGCTGTATATTCTGAACGGCGGCCATGCTCCTCCGGCTGAGTCTCGAGCATGCCCCTTTCTGTTTGCTTCACTTATCTCACATCCACTAGTAAAGAGGAAGAAGGGAGCTGTCTCTTTGGCTTTTCCATCCATAATCCCTCCAGAATACCCCTCCGAGATGGACACTTCCCTAGAAATAACTACACGGTGTCAATATAACTAGAGCTCCCTCATATCATTAAAATCAAATCCACACAGGGACGCCTGGGTGGCTCAGTCAGTTAAGCTTCTGACTTCAGCTCAGGTCATGATCTCAGGGTCTTGGGATCGAGCCCCGTGGCGGGCTCTCTGTGCAGCGGGGAGTCGCTTTTCCCTCTGCCTTTCCCCACCCTTGTGCGTATGCTCTCTCTCTCTCAAATAAATAAATAAAATCTTTTAAAAAATCAAATCAACACATGAGCCCCATGTGTTGCTCTGACAGTCTTCTTCCCTGGGTGTTTGTCCCTTGAGGTACCAGGTCCTCCTGTGTGTGTGTGTGTGTGTGTGTGTGTGTGTGTGGTGCATGTTCAAGGAAAGGGAGAGAGAAGTGGAGAGGTGTTTCCTGAATATCAAAGGGAGGAATCTACTTAAACAAGAGGTGAAAGACTTGTACTCTGAAAACTATAAAGCACTGATGAAAGAGGGGCGCCTGGGTGGCTCAGTCGTTAAGCGTCTGCCTTCAGCTCAGGTCATGATCCCAGGGTCCTGGGATCAAGTCCCACATCGGGCTCCCTGCTCGGAAGGAAGCCTGCTTCTCCCTCTCCCACTCCCCCTGCTTGTGTTCCTGGTCTCACTGTCTCTCTCTCTGTCAAATAAATAAACAAAATCTTTAAAAAAAAAAAAAACCACTGATGACAGAAACTGAAGACAATACAAACAAATGGAAAGATACTCTGTGCTCATGGATCAAAAGAACAAACATTGTTGAAATATCTATACCACCCAAAGCAATACACAGATTTAATGCACTCCCTATCAAAATACCAACAGCATTTTTCACAGAACTAGAACAGACAATCCTAAAACTTATATGGAACCACAAAAGACCCCAAATAACCAAAGCAATCTTGAAAAAGAAGAAAAAAACTGGAGGTATCACAATCCCAGATTTTAAGATATACTTACAAAGCTGTAGTAATCAAAACAGTATGGTACTGGCACAGAAATAGACACATAGACCAATGGAAGAGAAAAGAGAGCCCAGAAACAAACCCATGATTATATGGCCAATTAATCTTCCACAAAGGAGGCAAGAATATGCAGTGGGGAAAAGTCTGTCTCTTCAACAAACAACGTTGGGAAAACTGGACAGCTACATCCAGAAGAATGAAACTGGACCACTTTCTTACACCATACACAAAAATATATTCAGAACATATTTCAAAATTCATTAAAGACCTAAATGTGAGACCTGAAACCAACCAACCAAACAAACAAACAAACAAAACTCCTAGAAGAGAGCATAGGCAGTAATGTCTCAGACTTTGACAGTAGCAAATTCTTTCTACATACGTCTCCTGAGACAAGGGGAAAAAAAGCAAAAACTACTGGGACTACATCAAAATAAAAAGCTTCTGCACAGTGAAAGAAATAATCAACAAAATTAAATGGCAACCTACTGAATGGGAGAAGATATTTGCAAATGTCATATCTGATACAGGGTTAATGTCCAAAATATATAAAGAACTTACACAACTCAACACCAAAAAAACCAAATAATCCAATTAAAAATGAGCAGAAGACATGAACAGACATTTTTCCAAAGAAGACATCCAGATGGCCAACAGACACATGAAAAGATGCTCAACATCACTTATCATCAGGGAAATGCAAATCAAAACTACAATGCAAGATCACCTCACACCTGTCAGAATGGCTAAAATCAAAAACACAAGAAACAACAAGTGTTGGCAAGGATGTGGGGAAAAAGGAACCCTCAAGCACTGTTGGTGGGAATGCAAACCAGTGCAGCTACTGTGAAAAACAGTATGGAGGGTCCTCAAAAAATTAAAAACAGAATTATAATATGATCCTATAATTCCACTACTGGGTATTTACCCAAAGAATATGAAAACATTAATTTGAAAAGATACATGCACCCCTATGTTTATTGCAGCATTATTTATAATAGCCAAACTGTGGAAGCAGCCCAAGTGCCCACTGACAGATGAATGGATAACGAAGATGTGGTATATATGCACAATGGAATATTACTCTGCCATAAAAAAGAATGAGATCTTGCCGTTTGCAGCAACATGGGTGGAGCTTGAGGGTATAATGCTAAGTGAAATAAGTCAGTCAAAAACAAATACCATATGATTTCACTCATATGTGGAACTTAAGAAACAAAACATATGAACAAAGGAAAAAAGAGACAAAAAACAGACTCTTAACTTCAGAGAACAAACTGGTGGTTACCAGAGGAGAGGTAGGTAGGGGGATGGATAAGATGGGTGAAGGGAATTAAGAATACACTTATCTTGATCAGCACCAAGTGATGTATAGAATTGTGGAATCATTATATTTTTAAAAAGAAAAGGGAGAAATCTGTCATAAGAAGAAGACTGAGTGACCCAAAATGCTTTAAACATATGCATCTCAGTTGTAAAATAATCACGATAGTATAGTTAATCATTTTTTGGCTATCATTTAGTGATATCTTTCTCTATGCCAGGCACTTTGCATATATTATCTCATTTAA